CGAGCTTACTAATTTTATGAAAGTGAAATTAACAGCTATTGTTTATAATGAACTTTTCAATCTCATTTTTTTTTTTTTTTTTTTTTACCAAAATTGGGTTATTTTAATACTTTATACACTTTAACGAAAATAACATTTGAAAAAATTTTTTTAAATAAAGCGCTATTTTTAGCCTTTTTTTGCGAAATAACTTTAGTATCCATGGAGTGGTTTCCTATTTTTGTCAGAATAATGAATAATGAATTAAAATTACGATTTGTTGCTCAATTAATTGATGAATTAATAGAAAATCATTAGAGGAATCAAGAATATTTTTTAACCTACTCGTGATTTGTGAATGAATTATTTAATTTCTTTTATTTTTTGAAAAAAAATTTAAATAAATACATGACTTATTAAGGAAGTGTGATAAACATCAAATCATCTTAAAGACCTTGAAGGACGGAGCATATTTTATCTAGTAGGGCTCTTTATACAACTGATGTAAACAGTTTTCTTAAAAAAAATCAAAATATTTAAATCAGCTTCAAAATTCGGCAGCTAGCTCAAGACAAATGAATCAAGAATCACAAGCAGTCCTTGAATTAGGATCTGAATTAATTGACATTTTGTATTATGAAGAAATTGAGATACATTGAAAAACATTCATATGGGATAGATTAATTTGTGTAATTTCCGCTACCATAGTACATCTTTTAGCATAATATCTTTGCAACTTATATGCATATATTTTTTAAAAAGTGTTAGTATTTTGGAAAATTTCTTAATCTAAATTTTAGAAAATATAATACATCAATTTGCTAATCATTTAGGATACAGCTACTATTAATTTGAATACTTTTTGGAATAAATAAAAAAAAATTATAACAATTTCTTCAAAAAACAGATGAACTTCGAACTTTTAATAAAAATTATATGAGAAATTCACTCAATATTGTAACTCAAAAGTCATATTTTAAAGCTTAGAAGTTGTAGTATATAAGTATATATAAAGAATGTAATAATAATGAAATATGTAGATTTAAACTATATTGACTAGCATTTCATCATTTCTATCACTAGTTTTTATATATAGAAGGATTCTCATTTCATTTTTAATTCTATTTACTTACTCATTGTAATCAGATTTTTTCATAAAATCTTTAAAAATCAGTTTTTTTTATTGGATCCTCTTTAACTTTTAAATCGGCCAAATTTCTTAAATTTTTAAAATATATTGTAAATTATATGAAGCTAAGTCATTGTTTACATCTATAATCTTTTGTCAAACATCTTCAATTTACATATTATAGGATTTATATAAAATGAAAAAGATATAATTATCTCTATCTCTCAATTGTGCACGTAAAATCTATAATGAACAACTTACATCATATCCAGAAACTAATGTCACCACCTTTGTTGATTTGGAAGTAATAGAAAAAGTTCAATTTCAGCTAAAACGTGTATTTTTAAAGCAAAATCAGGTAATGAGTTTTATTCTTTACAATTTTTATATTAAGCAACCTGATAAATAAATTTATAAAATAAACTACAATCAGGAGTGAAAACATAATTAGCAGTATTGTTATAAATGGATTTTTTTGATATTATTACCAAATGCTGATGGATCTCCTATTAAAAAAATTGTCAAGAGTGAGGTTTGATAATGATAAATAGAAAATTGATTCAAATTAGAATCAGGTTGTTGAATAAAATTTGTTTCAGAACTGATCTCTCCATTTAGGAAAACTGATTAATATTTTGTAATAAGATTCCATGGATTATTTGGATTATCATTATTAGCAGATTCATTTAAATTATAAATTTTATTTGAAGCTAAAATAAAATAAAAAGCATGTGCAAAGCTAATTAAACAAAGTAATAAGATTATTAGGAAAGTAAATACCCTCTTAGTTATGCTAATAATAATAGTAAAATTATTATCGAAATAATCAAGAGCTTGCAAAAATGTGATGAATTTAAAATGTAATAATAAATTTGATATAAAAATTAACGATGACAGAGGTTTAGCATAATATAACAAATAAAAGTGGTATTTACTGGGAAAATTCACGTCACAAGATCTAAAATAGAAACAACATATAAATATAATAATTATTTTAAATTATATTAAAAAAAATTAAATTTTATAAATATCAAAACAAATTCCATAAATCTGTGAATTACAATTATATATTCTAAATAATTTGTCTAATTTTGTGAATAATATAAAACAAACCAAAAATAATGCTGATCCTTAAAAAAATATAAATGAAAAAAAGGTTGAGGCAATTAAGAAAGAGAGCAAAAGCGTGGTAAAAAATGCTCACAAATTATAATAATATAATCTTCTAAAGGTATTTTATTTAAAATTAAATAATGCCTCAGCATTCTAACTATAATAAATATTTGTTCATCAAAAGTAACGAATGCGTTGTATTTTAGTGTATTAGTAATTTGTTTCAGAATTATAAATAGATTTATATTTTGTAAATTTCAGGCAAAAAACAACTAAACTAATAAGCGTTCTCCTTTGATATTTTTTAGTAATAGAATATAGAAAAACATAAGCTTTTAAAAGAATTTATTAAACTGTAAAATTTGTCAAATGACATAATATTCTCTATAACTATATACTTGCAATGTATGAGCTTAGTTCGTATTATCAATCAATTTTTTGTCAGCAGATCTAATATAAGGCACATTCATTTTTAGATTTAGAATAATTGAAAATATAGAAATAAACTTTGCATAATGATTAAGAAATCATAAATGTAATTCTGACAGTTATTTTGTGATAAAACTAAAGATTCTATAATTTGTTATAGTATCTTTAGTTAGTGTTTCATGTAACTTGTTAAGACAAATATCTAACAATTCACTTTTACTTTCATCTTGTTCAATAGCATGATTGATTATTTCACTGCTTATTTCTATGAAATACTTTCTTGAGGGTAGAAATTCATTAACTATGAGTATTTTAACTCATGATAATATTTTAAAATTATTTAAGCTTGAGTTTTACACTTGAGAAATTTATCAATATCACTATAAATATATTTAAATACAAATTTGTTGGCTGTTTCATCAAAGCCAAAAATGTAAAAATTATCATCACAGTAAATATAATACTACTCATTATTACTTAAAATATGAATGTTCTATTTATATTAATCAATTCATTAATTAGATCTCCTATTTTTATTTTCATCATTAATATATAGAAAATTTTTAATAGTTAATAAATTTTTACTCAATAAAATTAAAATTCCATTCTTCATTGAAAATACATATTTATAAATTTTTTTTATTTTGATATATTGCAAATAAACTTCTTTCATCATTTACCGCCCTGTATTTTATATGATATTCAAGATTTTTAATGATACTCTTAAATATACATTTATATATTAATCTCGTTATATTAAAAGATCCATTTAGGAGAAACTGTAAATATTGATCTTCTGCAGCTGACTGAAAAGTTATTAACATATTTTCAGAAGTTTTCAAATCTCAGATATATAGATGACTATCACAAAAATAAATTAATAATTTATCATCTGATAATTCTAGTAACTCTCTAGAATTTCCAAAATTGATCTCAAAGTCTTTATATTCTTGAAGATGACCTCAAAGATTCTTTTGCTCTTGTATAACTCTCTAGAGTTAACCTCAATAACATTTTTGTTATTGTCAATTTTATTTATTTTGAGCTTATTAGCATTAAAATTAATAATCATATAGCTAATGATTAATCTGCACATATTTCTTATTAGGTGAAATTATGAATAATTTAATTGCTGCACTTGGATTACTAAATTTAGACATTATTTATTATGTCTGACCTAATTGATTATATCACTGAAAGTTAAATTAATGGATCAAAACAGTGATTTTAATAATATTTATAAGATCACATCATCTAATTGTAATTGTTTTACACAGGTTGAATAATGGTATACCAGAAAAGAATCATAAGCCTGATTCTTCAATAATTCTTTATTGATTTAACATTAGCATTACCCCGATACTTACTACTGACTGAGCACAGATTCTTGTTATATTTCTGGATAAAGCCAGTAAATAATATGGTATAAATACTTCATAAATATCAAGTATAATTGTCAAAGAATCAGATTTCTAATTTTATACAAATAAATACCCGAAATTTATTCAATTAATAGCCAAATATTTTGAAGTTTATTGAAGTATAGGTTGTAAATAGGTCAAATGTTAAATCAATATCAGAATTCTAGTAGTTTTCTTATCTTTATATAAAACTTTAATTATTTATTTGAACTATCATAAAAATACCGTTAAACAATATTATATATATCGAATAGTAATTGGCAATATATCATAAACATCTTGTTTACATCTGATAATTTTGTTACTATAAATAATAAATGTATCTGACATTATTGTTTTATTTAATTTATTATAATATTGCAAACATAGCAATAAAACTAGTTAACTACATATGTTGTTGCATGCTTTTATAAATCTATATAATACTTTTATGATACAATTAGTAAATGAAATAAAGTGAAACATGATTAGCTGAATAAAATACATTATCTTTTATCCCTATTAATATTTTCATTTGGCTGTTAATCATTATTGTCATCAGAATGGTACGACTGTGATATTAGCCAATTGGGTGCTTCTTCTGGCGGTTTCGATTTATCAAACCATATTTCATCTTGGTATTAGCAATAACGTATAATTTTTATATGGCTGATATTTTTACCAACTCAGTCAGCCAAACAAAGTAAATTACGTACCTATTAAAATGAAAAAAAGAAACAGTAAATAAATATATAATATGTATTGTTTTATTTAATATTTAAATACTTACATGACGTGATCTCTAAGGTTTATCATAAATATGAAGAATGTGTTTGTCTACTTCATTTTTATTTTTGGGCTGAATATATTCTTTGATTTCTTTTTTGTTAGTTCCTCGTCAGTTTCAGAAATTTCATCACTATGAAATTCACCTTCATTCATCAAGGTTTCACAATCCTTCTTAAACTCGTTCCAAATTAGAGATGTCAGTTAAAAATCTTTAAGTAAAGAATCGTTAATATTAAATATATAAACAATGCCTTTCTGATATTATTCTTTTTTCTATTATCGATAAAAATTAAGGATTATTCAATGATCAATATTACAAGATCTCTTGATACTTATATTCATTTTTCAAGAATTCATTCCTTTTCTACTCCTCTCTAACTTAACTTTATATAGGTCAAGACTAGTCTTCTAAGATTCTCTATAGTGACGGTGTAGACTTTATAAAACCCATTTCAATTCTACATATTTATACTGAAACTTTCCAGTCAAAGCTTTGTCAATTTTCTTCATTGTATGTTTTAAAATATGACATATAATTTCTGTCCATTTTTTAGTATAATCCAGTTGCAGCGAATTGTCAAGGCCATTAAGAATTTGTATTACTTCATCCTTAATTCGATAAAATAAGTAAAAATAAAATAGTTAATAAATTTTAAAACAATTGAGCTTTATTTGACGCTTACATGAATAACTTGTATTGATTTTTATCCATATCATCAAATACAATCTGATGTTAGTTTCTAGTTCTAGCGTGAGTGAGGCATCTCTTTGTATTTGATCCTTTGAAGCTAAGGCTGATGACTTGTGAGAAGTTGATAATTCATTTCTTAATTGAGATTTCTTGAGACTATGAACTTCTTCTGTTAGTGCACTAACAGCTTAGCTTAAAATTTCGATATCTGTAAATTTAAATCATATGATCAAGAAACTTGTTAAATAGTTTTAAATTATCATATCAAATTAACAATTATCATTATTTCTATTATATCTTGTAGATGAACGTCTCCTTCAAGTACTTAGTGAACAGCTGTAATTTGATGATAAATGTCTATTTGAATAAACAGAATATATAGAACTACTCTTCTTTAATAAATGAAACGATGATAACTTCTTTGATAATGATGATGTGATGACATTAAGTTTGTACAATAGTTTATATAATGATAGTTGTGAGAAGATGAATTAACAGTTAATCTCCTTAAACCTATTTTCTTGATTTTGAAAAGTTTTCGTCTATGCATATTTACCAAAAATTGAATATAATTATAAATAAAGAAATTAAAGAAATAAAATTATCCAAAAAAAAGTTTTCTAATTTTTTTTTAAAAAAAAAACAAAAGGTAAAAATCATTAATCATTTCTTTTTATACTTTCATTTACTTCTGAAAATATATAATATTTTAATTTATTTTTCTTTTCTGCAATAATAAATAGTAACAAGTCAAATGTCAGAAAGAAAAGTTCAAATCGTGAGAAGAAAAGGATCATGATCTGATGCCTTTATATATGTTTTTTATATTATGTAAGATGAAATAGTATAGAGTATAAGAAATCAGATGATCATATCATTTTAATTGTTAAGATGTTTAAGTTTAAATCACAATAATAGTCTATTATGAACAATGGATCAATAATGATAATTATATATATATAAATAATACGTTGTGACGGGTAAAATTTTAGATAGATTTAATTGGTAGAATAGAAAGTCAATTTTATTGCCATGTAGATCTTC